CGGCATTCCAGGACTCTCACACCAGTTACCAAATGGTCACTTGAATCTCAACATCATGAGTTGGCTGAATGTGGACATTTTTTTTTGCTCATTCCCTCACCAAGTATAATGCATATGGGGTTTCAGAGACTGAGCTCTATTATGTAATAAAGTATAGGTAAGGAATCTCCCAGAGACAGAATTCAAGCAGGAGGGGAAGTTAATACTTCTTTTACTCTCAAAGGAAAGGAACTCAGGGAAGGTAGAAGAAATGTTGACCTCAAATATTCAAGAATGTGAGACCACCATGTTCTAAAAGCAACTAGATAGGGATCCATGTAAAAATGACTAATAACGCAAGAACTGGGAAACAGTAAACAAGATGAGCCTGGAATATCTTGTTGTACTAGAAAGCAAGGACATGACCAAAGACAAATGAGATTGTGACACAGGACTCAGGAGCCAACCTGAAGGGGCTTCTGATACCCTAAAACATTATAGAATAAGAACTGCTGGGGCCAGCAGGTGATATGGTGGTTAAGGATGCTGGACTCTACATGGCTGACTGTGGTTTGAGTCCCAGATCTGGTGGCTTGTTTTCTCACTTTCACTCTCACTCTCGTCATATTAAAATAAATAAAGTTAAATAAAATAATTATAAAAAAGGGGAGGGGGGACCAGCAGTTAGCATAATGGCTATGTCACTGGACTAGACTCCCATGTAGTCAACTGCAGTTTGAGTTCCAAACCCAGTGGCTTAAACTCATGTCGGCCACATGTGTATGCATGCCCAAGATCCCGAGAGGAGAATGGAGAAGGGACTGCGGCATGGCCATCCCCCCCGGGGGATGATTTCTCACTTTTTGTCTCTCTGTCTCTGTCTGTCTTTCTGGTAAGTGCACATGTCCTATAGCAAAAACCTCTCCAAAAAAAAAAAAAAAAGATAAAGAAAAAAGAAAAAGCAAAGAACTATATTTGAGGGACCAGCAGATAGTGTAATCATTATGTTGCCGGACTCCCACATAGTCAAACGTGGTTCAAGTCCTGACCTCGGCATCTTAAACCTCACACCACGCACGTGTGTGCATGCTCCAAATCCCAAGGAAAGAATGAGATGAAAGGGTTGCAGTGTGGCCATACCCCCAGGGGGTGATTTTTCACTTTTTTCTCTCTGGCAAGCACATGCACCCTATAGCAAAAATCTCTCAAAAGAAAAAAAAAAAAAAAAGAACTGCATTTGATTAAAGCATATCAAATATGCGAAAACTCAGAATTTTTTAGTAATACTAAAATTCTTACTACTAAATACTAATACTAAAAAATCTTATTGGTCACCACGGAAGTTGGTAGGGAAATAGCTCATTACTCTGGAAACAGAGAGAGGAAAAAAAAGTATTCATCCTGCTATTCCTATGGAAATGGTATTTCATGGTAACCAAATAGTTGACAAGAAATAAGTTCTCTTTCTAGAAATTTATTTAAAGACACAAAAATATTGACAGAATTTGAAAAACCACCATTCTGCAACCTATAAATGATGAATATTTAGATTACATGCACCAATGGTTACTTAAACAACAAAAGCAAAAGGCTGATGGGGGGCTTTATCACTGGAGGGAGAAAGTAGACGATCCCTAAATGCAGTGCATTGCTCCACACGGGCTCCCAGACATTATGTGCCTCTGTGATGCACGGCGACATGGGACCACCTGTGAAATACCCTTGTCAAGAAAACTGAACTCAATCAAGCCTCCAAGCAAGCTGACAAGCCATATGGAGTGCCACCTGAACAAGTTAAGGAACATCTCAAGGAAGTAATCAGCTGATTGCAAAATAAATGAGCAAATGACCTGGCTTCTTAAATTAAAAATATGAAAAAAGTAGGGTGGTAAAGAAAGACAAGATAGTATAGAATAAAAAAGATTTTTAAAAATATTAAGACTTGGGACCAAAATGGTTATGTTGCTGGACTCCCACGTAGTTGACCACGGTTGGAGTCCTGGACCTGGTGGCTTAAAACTCACACTAGGCGCATGTGTGTGCCTGTCCAAAAGCCCTAGAAGAGAAGGGAGAAGAGACTGTGGCGTGGCCATCCACCCTGGGGCAGGGGGTGATTTTTCGCTTTCTGTTTGTCTCTCTAGCAAGCACACACACACTATACAAAAATCTCTCAAAAAAAGAAAAACACCCAATAGGAAAAATCTCTCTCTCAAAAAAAAAAAAAAAGGATCAAGACAAAGCATAATATGTGAACTTGGTTTGTATCCTGATTTGCACTAACTAAACAAAAACATTTTTGAGACAATTGGGGAAATTTTAATATGAGCAACACATTAGACGATATTAAAGGCTCCTTATTAATTTCAGATATAATGGCATTGTGTACATGTGTGTGTTAGGCACAGTAGGGCGTACTAGCAATGCACTCTGAGGTTTTCCTGAGCTATGTAACCATTTTCTCATGAGGTGTGTTTACACATGAAGTGGCCTCTGCTGTAATATATTCTAGTGGGGGAAAAGCATGTACGGGGAATTAGTAAAAAGTAACAGATACATGTGGGTTCATTTTTCTTCTCTGCTTTAAGACTGGGCACCTCTACAAAGGTACAGTCCTGCACATGGCCACTACCCAGAAGTCCTTTTCTGATCTTCTAACCAAGGGTCAAAGGTTGCCAGCCCAGCAGAGCCTCGCCACACCAAAGCAATGTGCCCTGCAGGACTCACCTGCTTGGAAGGTAACTGCTGTTTCTCCTGCTTCCACTGGTTTATCTGGGACTTCGGCTTTTTGGGAGGGAGGGACTTCACTTTGCCTTTGTCCCGCAACCTGGAATAAAATGGCCAAGTTAATATCACTTTGAGTCCTTCCTCTCCTTGGAACCCCTAGGTTCTCTCAGCTCTACAGATAAAGTTTTTCATGGTGGTTAAAGGTGGACTCCCACATGGCCAACCACGGTTCAAGTCTCGGACCTGGTGGCTTGCTTTCTCACTTCCTCTCTCTCTCTCTGTCTCTCTCTGATCAAACTGGAAAATAATAATGATAATAATAATAAATAAAGTTAAATAAAATAATTTTTAAAAATTATATATTACATTTTATTTATTATTAGTAGTATTCTTTAATCTGATCAGAGAAAGACAGAGAGAGATGGAGGGACAGTGAGAAAGGAAACCACCAGGTTAGGGACTCAAACCACTGTCACTATGTGGGAGTCCACCACCTTAACCACCACGTCACCTGCTGGTCCTAAAATTATTTTTGTACAATGGTCCTCCCTTCTCTCTTTCTTTTTAAAACTGTGCCAAAGGGCACATGTGCTGGCCAGAGAGAACGAGAAAAGGAAAGTGAGAAAGCACCTCCTCGTGGGTCATGGTCATACCACAATCCCTTTTTCTCCAATTCTCCATCCTGTCAGGATTTTAGGCACATACGAGTGTGTCTGGCATGTTTTTCAAGCCACTGGGGCTGGAGTTTGAACTACATAGTCGGCCACATAGGATCTGACTTCCTTAACCATGAGGCCACAAGCCTGGCCCACATACACTGGTTCTTTCTAAGTTCATGATAAGTCGTTCTAAAAAGGGAGGGGCAGCTCACGGACACACTGTTAATGTGCTGCTCAGTAGAAGCCAGATCCCACATGGCTACTGTGATTAGAATCCCCAGCCCAGTCAGCTTGAAACAGAATATGCACGAATAACAATGTCTAGGACCTGACAGGCTGGAGGAGTAGAGGAAGGGGAGAGTGGCATAGTCAGACCCTGTGAAGGGTGCTCGTCTCTTTTCTCTCTCTCTCTCTCACACATACATGCATGCACTCTATACAAATAAAGAGAAAATAACATTCATAATTCTTAAACATTTTAAAGGGACATGACTATTCTAAGGCTCAACATTCGTCTACTTTCTGTTTTTTTTTGCTGGTGGTTTTTAGGGTTACTTTTGCTTAAAACTCCACTTATTTAACAGGTATTTCATAAAGGTCTACCGTTGTACAAAGCACTAATCTACTGCTCCAAACAGCAACTACACTGACTTTCAAGTACGTGGCCTTGGCTGACACAGACAGTCATCTGGACAGGAGGAAGCACTTTAAAACAGGTAAAAATGGTACGAAAGCCTGCCCAGGCAGGCTGCTCTGAGGTCCCCTCTGTCCTTTGATCCAAGAGTACCATCTCTGATGGTGTAGGGACTTGTATGTGAACCCTCCACTTGGGACTGGCACTATACCAAGCATTTCTTGTTCAAACACATGCCACAAGGTGAGGAAAAGCTAAACAAAAGCAAACCACTGAGAAGCTCTGCACTGTTCTACGCCACCTCCTGCATCTCACCTGATTTTCGGTCCGCGGTGAGAGGGGAGTGCCAGGACCTTTCTTCTCTTCTTCCCATCAGGCAGTTCGACCTGCTCCACTTCGGCCTTGGTCTGGAATCCTGTCCAGGAGGCAGAGCCCGCTTTCCCCTTCTGCCCTGGGGCGGCCTTGCTCTGCTGCCGTGTATGGTCTGGAGCTGCCTTCTGGTGCTGGTCTTTTCCGGGCTCTAGTCGCTCCTTCTGGGGCTCAGCAGTTGCATGCTTGGTTCTCATTTTTTGCTGCATAAAATAAGAAACTGCCATCTGGTTTCTGGGTAAGGTCTGTTTGCTGGAAATACTCAGCAGAAGAGCTTTATGTAAACTTGGGAAAAGGAAGGGAACTCTTCCCCCATAGTTGGGAGACTACAGAAAGTGAATACAGTGGTTCACCAACTTGACACAGCAAGAGGTAGTTACTAGGCAGGACACAGGGAGCAGCCATTATCTTCTCTGTGACATGAACAGGGAGCTGGATCTCACATGGCTAACTGCACAATTCAAGTCCCAGACCCAGCAACTTCAAAACTACACCCGGTGTGTGTGCATTCATGCCCAAAATTCTGAAAGGAGGAGAGATGGAGAAGGGACTGCAGTGTGACTAAGCTCCTGGGGGGTGCTTTCTCACTCACAACCCCCAGCCCTCTGGTGACCACACACACTGTCTTGGGAAAAAAAAAAAAAAAAAACAGAAACAAAAACTCAACCATATCATAGTCTTAACTATGGAAAATTAAACCAGAGGGGGAAAAATATCTTCCCTAGAGGAACAAAGATCAAATTACATTAGATTTCCCTTCAGAAACCGTGTAAGCAAGAAAAGAATGGGCTGAGATATCTAAAGTTTTAAAAGAAAAAAACAAAAATCACCAACCTGGAGTTGTGTATTCTATGAAATTATTTCTCAAAAGTACAGGAAAAATATAGACTTTCTCTAACAAACAAAACTTGAGGGAATTTGTTATCAGTAGACCTGCCTTGCAAGAAATACCAAATAAAGTTCTTCAGAGAGAAGGAAAGTAATATAGGTCAGAAACCGAGATCTACCTAAAGAAAAAAGAGCATTTGAAAATAAATAAATAAAGAAGACAAGGAAAAGATGCCATGGGAAGGAAGGCATAATGAATGTGGTGGGGCAAGCTTTGGCCTGCTGGTTAACGTAGCTAGATCCCATATGGCCACACCTGCGGTTTGAATCCCCAACCCAGCAGCCTGGAAAACACGCTGGGAACTTGTGTGTGTGTGTGTGTGTGTGTGTGTGTTTTCAAAACTCTGACAGGAGGGAGAGAGCGAAGAGAAGGGATTGAGTATGACTCTTAGGGGGTGCTGTCCACCTCTCTCTACCTGCCTCTCTCTGGAAAGCATACACTACCCTATGGCAATGTGAAAGAAGCAGCATCTAGTCCACTAGATCCTGGGTAACGATGAATAAAACAATGAGTACTGACTGGATGATGACTGTGTCGCACGCTAGATAACATGGACTATCTCACTCGACCCTCTCCAGACAGGTGAGGCAGATGCTGATGGCTCGTTTTACAAACTCAACTTCAGGCAGGTAAGGACCTGCCAAGGACCACGTAGCACGAAAGGAGCAAAGCCAGTGTCTGAACACGAGTCTGCCTATTCCCAAAGTCCCTCCTCTTCCTTCTATACCATGCTATTAGGTCGTCGGAAAAGTCGTGACATATTTTTCTGTTTTTCTATGCAAAAATGTGTCACGACTTTCCCAATGACCCAATAAACTGTACTAAAATATCAAGCATCTCACTTTTGGAGCCATCTAAGAAGAAAAAAGAATTATGAAAGAAAATGGCTGAAATCTATGGGTCAAATGTAAAACCTTAACCTCGCCCATTAGTTTTCGCAGGTGCCAACACCAAACCCTAGAGAACTGCTGGCTGGTAACAGCACGGGTCTGCTGCCTCTCGCTCCTTCCTCTCCCTTCTCCTGTGGCACTATCACAGATGGGCCAGCAGAGGAGGAAGAGGCCTGGAGAGTCGTAGGGAACCAAGAGTGAAGGGTAATGGGAAAACCTAAGAAGGCAGAGAACTTCTCTATGGGAATAGAAGCCCACACTGAACAAGACAGATGAGTTTATGACTTTCAAAACAAACAGAAAAAGGATTTAGATTCAGTACCAGGCTCCGCTGAATCCTTTGTTCCTTCATTTTAAGTTTCCTTCGATCTTCCAAAGAGAACTCCACTATTGGTCTCTATGGCAAAGGGAGATAATACCATTCATTAGACTTCTTCGCCTATAAGTGAAATGAACTCAGTTGTCCCCCCAACCCACACTTTTTTTTTCTTTTTATACCAGAGGCTATTTCTTCTGCCAGTTCATCCAACTTACAGCATTCCTTCTAATCATCTTATCACCTCGAATCACCACTGGGTGAAGCATTACGCCCCACCTCCATCTACCTGGAACCTTTCCCAACATTGAAATGGGACACTGGACATGAAGAAGACCTGTTTCTATACGTGGCCTTCAGGGAAACAGGCTTCCCTGGAGGAGAGGCTCACCTTCTGAGGCCCGAATATTTCTGGATTGTTGTTGATGTGGCGGAGGGCTCGCAGGGCATGCTCATGCTCCTGGAACTCTGCAAAGGCATAGCCCAGGGACTGACCCTTCACTTTCCCATGCACTCCTTTAAGGTCTCGCATCACTCGACACTATGAGTAGAACACGAAAAAAGAATGGTAATTTCAGATAGGAAGCATTCTCCAACATGAAGTGGTTTAACTGATTCTATAAGAAATGATGTTACTGGGATCGCCATGTGGTGTGGTGGGTAAGGCACTGGACTCCCACATGGCCAACCACGGTTCAAGTCTCAGACCTTGTGGCTTAAAAGTCATTCTGGGCACACATGCATGCATGTCCAAAATCCTGAGAGAAAAATAGAGAAGGTATTACAGCATAGCCAACCCCCAGGAGGTAATTTCTCACTTTCCTCTGTCTGTCTCTATCCCTCTCTGGTGAGCATATGTGCCCTATGGCAAACCACTACCCTCCCCCCCCAAAAAAGAAATCAGGTTACTGAAATAGAATCATTTACACCACCATGAACTGTTATAAAGGAGTAACACTTATCTCTGCTTGCCTTATAATGATAATGGAAAGCACACCTCAGATTAGACAGATACTTCCTTGCTTTTGAAGAGTTTATAGACACAGGGACCAGCAGTTAGCGTAATGGCTATGTCGCTGGACTCCCATGTAGTCGAACGCGGTTCGCGTCCCAGACCCGGTGGTTTAAAACTCATGCTGGGCGTGTGTGCGTGCGTGCCCAAGATCCCAAGAGGAGAATGGAGGAGAAGGGATTGTGGCATGGCCATCACCCCTGAGGGGTGATTTCTTGCTTTCTGTCTCTCTGTCTCTCTCTGTTTGGCGAATGCATACGCCCTATAGCAAAAACCTCTCAAAAAAAAAAAAAAAGTTTATAGATATCAACATAGACCTACAAATAAACATGCAAATAAACTAAAATGCAAGGAAAAGTTCTAACAGCTAACTATTCACATTACACATGAGCTGGGAGTGCATGATACTCTTAAGTTGTATGAGACATTGTCACTAAGGATGAAATATTGTCCATAGATCTAATCACTGAAGAAGGCCCTCAGGAAGACAACCACTGAAAAAGGCCTGATGGCTCTAGATAAGAAAGAAACATAAGGCATGAGACAGCCTGTTCCACACACGGCCTCAGAAATACAGGAGAACCTTCAGCTCTCTTTGCTAGGAGCTCAGATCCTCTCTGGTGTGACTCTTCTCTAATCTGTAAATAAATGTAACAGGCGGGACCAGCAGACGGCGTAATGGCTATGTCACTGGACTCCCATGTAGTCAACTGCGGTTTGAGTCCCAGACTTGGTGGCTTAAATTCACTCTGGGCTCGTGTGCGTGCATGCCCAAGAACCCAAGAGGAGACTGGAGGAGAAGGGATTGCGGCATGGCCATCTCCCCAGAAGGTGATTTCTTGCTTTCTGTCCCTTTGTCTCTGTCTTTCTGGCGAGCACACATGCCCTGTAGCAAAAACCTCTCTCAAAAAATAGAAATATTGTCCATAGATCTAATCACTGAAGAAGGCCCTCAGGAAGACAACCACTGAAAAAGGCCTGATGGCTCTAGATAAGAAAGAAACATAAGGCATGAGACAGCCTGTTCCACACACGGCCTCAGAAATACAGGAGAACCTTCAGCTCTCTTTGCTAGGAGCTCAGATCCTCTCTGGTGTGACTCTTCTCTAATCTGTAAATAAATGTAACAGGCGGGACCAGCAGACGGTGTAATGGCTATGTCACTGGACTCCCATGTAGTCAACTGCGGTTTGAGTCCCAGACTTGGTGGCTTAAATTCACTCTGGGCTCGTGTGCGTGCATGCCCAAGAACCCAAGAGGAGACTGGAGGAGAAGGGATTGCGGCATGGCCATCTCCCCAGAAGGTGATTTCTTGCTTTCTGTCCCTTTGTCTCTGTCTTTCTGGCGAGCACACATGCCCTGTAGCAAAAACCTCTCTCAAAAAATAAATAAATAAATAAACAAATAAATAAATGTAACAGGCAACCTGGGGCATCAAGGTATGGTAGTATATTTTGGGAAAATGCCATTTTCCCAAAAGCTGTTACCTCTGGAAGGTGTTTTTGTAATGTAATGGAAGAGTCTACATACTAGGGACACTTGAATGCTACATTTGACATATGCTGAATATCTGTTCTAGAACTGTCATGCATTGTAAGGGAATCAAGAGATGCAACATGAGGTTCTTGCCCTCAAGCCACTCACCTTGCTGAGATACTATACTTACACATATGTAAGAATGAGGAGAAAAATTCAATATAATGCAAATAGTAAAGAACACACTCAAATTTCTCTGAATTATAACAGGTTTTGAATGTGTATATACACTTTGAAGCAGCTTTTAATTAAACAGAACAGGCAGACCCAAAATACTAACACTACTACTTGTTCAGTAAATTCTGACTGGCAGATTATTACCTGCCAGGCTCTATGTCAAGGAATAGGGGAAACAAGGTAATGCGGGCCCTCAAAGAGCTTAGCCTGGATAGAGGATGCGACTGACAGACATTTCAGGCTGGTGCAATTGTCAGTGCTACGACAGAGCCACGCAAAGGGAGCTGTGGGCAGAAGAGATTGTGTACTCACACAGACTCAACCAAGCCTTGGTGTAAATCCGGATTTTCTAAGTCAACTGCTGAAGACCCACCTGGCTCCCTGTGCTCACCACGGCACACTGAGGACTCTCTCCCTAGGTAAGAGCTTAATTGGTAGGAAAACTACCCCTAAAGAGCAAACCACACAGATGATCTTTTCTGCAAGAAAATCCACATTTCAGCACCTCAAATGATGCTGAGCACACAGCAGGTATGTAATAAATGTGTGCTAAATTAATTTATGAGGTCAGAGACTTCCCACATTCTGCTGCAATTTGGTCAAATATGAAAGACAGTTCTTAGATCAAGAAAAAACAAAACCAAGTAAACTTCCAAACTCAGCCTCGCATGCTGACAATGTATGCAAATGAAATGCACTAGCATGCTGGTACCACAGCCTGAAATAAAGGCCCAGTCTGACCCAGGATGAGGACGGAAGTGCTGAATGGCAGGACCAGCCCTCACCTCCTTGATGCGCACACCTTTCTCCCCTTTAGTGGCAGTCAGCAGCAGCTTTCTGAGCTGTGTGTCATCCACGGCCTTTGGGAGATTGTGCAGGCAGAGTCTGGTTTGGGAGACAAAGATATTCTGGTCCTTGAGTTTCTGATGCTTCAGTAGCTCAAACTGAAAGAGTAACAGATTGTTAACAGTACAATCCACCCATTTAAAAAGCAGGCCCGTAATTTTCCAAAAGGAATCTGCAGATCCCATAACCATACAAATAGAAAAAGGCCTCTCCCCACCCTGCAGCCTTATAGCCCAGCATAGAGAAAGAAAGGCTCAAAGAAGCAAGATGATAGGGAGGTAGCGAGATCATAGGCTCTGGAATGAGACAGGAATTAGAAAACCAGGATTAGCAGTTGGTGTTAATATGGCTGGATCCCACATGGCCAGCTGCACAGGTTGAGTCTTAAACCCAGCAGCTTGAAAATCATGCCAGGTTTATATGCATTTGTGCCCCAAATCCTTAGAGGATAATGGAGAAGGGGTTGCAGTGTGACTTCTCACCCCCCAACCAATCCTGTCTCTGAAAGCATAAGGTCCCTACAGTAAAAAACTTTAAAAAAAAAAGAGAGAGAGAGAGAGAGAGAGAGGACATTCCCAACTGGAGAAATTAGGTGAAGTTTTAAAGTCTGAAGGTTTCACTAATAAACTGTAACTGTAGATCAAAATATAATACAAATCTCTTAGCACAGACATGAGGCCAAAATGAGGTAATATATGAAAAAATCCTTAGCTGAAACTGTAGCCCAGAGCAAATGGTAATTAATACTGTAGTCAACATCTATATACAGTCCTCATTTACCCATCGACTCAAGCCAAGTATCTAGTCCTTCCAAAAACAAGTGGAACTTATTTAAAGAATACTTGATATGGGTCACCTAGTGTCATAATGATCAAGGCAGCTGGATCCCACATGGCCGACTGCATGGTTTGAGTCCCAAATCCGGCAACTTGAAAAACATGCCATGTATGAGTGTGTGCCTGAAATCTCAACAGAATGGAGATGAAGGGACTGCAGAGTGACCATCTCTCCTGGGGAGGTTATCTTCTCATTTTCCTGTCTTTCTGTCTCTTTCCAGTGAGCGCACACACCCTCTAGCAAATTTTTAGAAATAGAATACTTGAGGGATCAGCAGATGGCATAATGGTTGTTATCGCTGGACTCCCATGTAGATGACTGCAGTTTGAGTCTGGACTTGACTGCTTAAAACTCATGCCAGACATGTGTGCATGCCTGCTCAAAATCCCGAGAGGAGAATGGAGGAGAAGGGATTGCAGTGTCGACCCCCCCCAGGGG